TATATATATATATATATATATAGTATATATATATATATATATATATATATATATATATATATATATATATATATGGACATAGATATCAATATCGATATAGATATAGATATAGATATAGATATAGATATAGATATAGATATAGATATAGATATAGATATAGATATAGATATAGATATAGATATGCCTTCAATGGGACCAACCTGCACTGAATTCAATAGCTGTGACGCTGTCTGTATGTCCAATGAGTTCGTGTAGTACTGTGCCGTTCTCGGTTCGCCACAGATAAGCCTTGTCGTCACCACCTCCACTCGCGGATATATTCGAGTCCACTGCACCGAGAAAAAGGACAAACAACATATGAAGCAGCTAGAGCAAAGCCATGTTTTTCGGATATCTAAAATATGCAAACATACAGAAATGCTGGTACAAAGGGCCTCGTATGTTCTTTGCACCCATGTTTGTGCAATGCATACACCAGGACTGACAGCTACGTGGTACAAGGCATCGTCGAGGGTTTTGGGGTTTTAGGGTTAAGGGTTTGGGGTTTTGGATTTAGGGTTAAAGCACTTCACAGCGTTGTACAGACTTGCTCATCACTTGTGGTCCATTACTCGCCCCCATTCCCCCCTCCCCCAACACACACACACCCCATTCATACTTATCACGCACATGAAGTCGTTCAGTCCGCACCTTCGAACCAGGCCAATACACGGTTTGTAATACGTACTAAGCAGACGCAGACAGGTACATGAAACGTACCCGGACTGACAGCCACACAGTACACGGCATCCTCGTGCACTCCAAAGTGTGACACAGAACTGTCTACCACGGGCGTCTCATCTGCAGCATCGTCCATAGCCATATCCTCGTCACCATCCTCATCTTCATCATCATCGTCCTGAGAAGCACGAGCAATAGTCAGTAGATATTACATTGGTAGTTATCGCGCATACGTCCACATTAAACGTATACGTGTAAACAAGAACGTGTTTGGGCACATATCGATGTATGTGAAACAAAAGCACATGCGCATTTGACATATTGCTGTGTTTAAGCAGTAAACGGAAATGTTATACGCCAAACACAATATATGCGTATAATCGTCAATCATCACGAGACCGATCACATATCTCTGCCTAAAATAGAAAAAAGAGATGTACATTGGCGAACAGAATATATTTGTATATGAATGCGAATCGCGAATGCTTTACATGAATGCATGTTCATGAAGGTAACGGATCGAAGCATATGTACAGTATCGTAGATGTAGAAGTAGGGAGGAGTGAGAGTTTGCATATATGTAGATATACAAATACCTTCTTGTACAGACTACGACTGGAGGTATACACACGTATCAGCATGTCATTAACGATTGAATATTAAATATAAGCAAACTCACATGTATAATACAAATGCCAAAATACATATACCCCAATAATCATAACAAATTACGCTTTTTAAAATTGTAAAAGAACAATGTGTTCATACGTATTACATGCATAATCTGTATCGAGGTGTCCATATCAATAAATACAAACAACTATGAATACATATATAAACTTGTAGATAGAAAATTATATATATATATATATATAAACACACACATATCTATATCTATATATATATATATGTATATATATATATATAATATAATATATATATGTATATATAAACATATATATATATGTACATTTATATATATATATATATGTGTGTGTGTGTGTGTGTGTGTGTCTGTGTGTGTGCATATGTATGTATGTATATATATATAAACATTTATGTATATATATACATATATATGTGCGTGTGTGTGTCTGTGTATGTGTGTGTGTGTGTGGGTTGGTGGGTGTGTGTGTATATGCATATATATATATATATATATGTGTGTGTATGTATGTATGTATGCGTGCGTATACGTTGTGTACATATTTATAA